TGAATCGTCCGATTCCTCTCCATCAACCATGGGCAAAAAGGGCGATGAGGCCAACTAAGCGTAACCTTCTTGAGCAATGTTGCTACTTCAGCCACCATCGCTGACATTTGGAATACAAGAACGTGTGGGCCCAGTGGGTGCACTCAACCCCAAGACCTTGTTGCATTGCATCAAGTTGCCATGCCCTACACGCGTGCACAAAGTTCCCAAAAGATAACCCCATACTCAGTCAAGTGGTTGTTTGGAAAGGGCTCAATCCAAAAGCCCCAAACACTCAGTTATCATCAAACCTAGACCCACTTGATTCAACAACAAGTGTTTTCCAAGAACTTTTTCCACCCATATCGTGCGCCCTGGGCGGCAAGGATGAGGATCTGAGATTCCCGACACCGTTTGCGATGAGGCGTGCGCATTGTCGTAGCACGACATCAGGGTCTCCACCTGGCAGCGGGGGCTGCGCAAATGTGTTTTGCAATTCTCTGGCCATGGTAATGCAGTTACACTTGCGCTCACAGTTTCCTTTTGCCAAGAGCGGTCTCAGCAGGATCCCCCGCTGTGAGAACAGCGATTGTTTTCCCATATCTGCAATTGCATGCATCCATGGTACTTTGGAATTTCACTGCAATAGTTTCACAAATGGCAAGCGGCAAAATTCGATCAAAGCTTCCCTGGTCACTAGTCCATCGTCTTTTGACTCTAAAGACAGTGATAGGTTGGCTTCAACATCCCCAAACCAATTCAGACTCCTTCCTGGGGAACAGCTTTCCGAAGGATCTTCAACAGGTTCCTGAGCTCACGAATCCATTGAAATGGACGTCGGCAGGGCTGAGGTTGAAGCTGGTTTTTTGCATCTTCTGTCAAACATGTTCCATTTTATTGTCATTCATGTTGATATACCTCATGACCCATAGTTCAGGCAACTGTCTTCCCAGCCACTTCCGCAGTGGTGACCTTGGCACACCTTGGGAGAATGAGTGAGTATGGGAGGCCATGAGTGCACCACTGTATCCTAATGTTTTGATACCAAGGGGCTTCATCGTGGTAGAACGGATTTGCGAATCAATCTTCATGAGAAGCCTTATGATCACACCAGCACTCGGTAATCAGTAGCCCTCCACTGGCAAACATAAACTCCACACATCAAAAAAGGTTTTGTTTGTCCAGAAACCCATTTTTCTTCCCTTCATCCTGCTCCTTCCCCACCCCTGCGGTTTCAATCTTCACCCCTTCACAACTTTCGAACTCCTTCTCCAGGGTTTGCACGGCAGATTCGAGCAATTGCACCGACCTCAAGCCATTCCGGGGGAAGGGCGGTAATGTTTCATCGAGCGAAAGAAAAGAAACCAGATGAAACAAGGAAATATTGATATCCACGAATCACTGGGACCAAGACTTTGCAACCCTCTGGCCATCATGGGAACTTTCGGTTTTCCCACCCTCATGAAGTGCAGTTTCCAAGAGCGCGATGAGCTCAGAAATCTTGGAAGACCGAGTCAAAAGACTGTCGGTGAACTGTTTGAACTTCAGGTGTTCCTGCACTGACCAACCAGATGATCAGGAAACAAAGAGGTGGTCGGTGGTAGCATCAAACAACAAAAGATATTAGTGAACTGTCCTTCGTAGCTGTGTTGACCTGATCAGCTTTTGCCTCTTGCTCCTCCTCGCCACCCTCAGACCCAGGTTCATCCTCGGCCTTTCCCAATCGCTCGAACTCCACATCGTCAGCGTCCACCTGAGGTCATTTCAAGATGCTGGAGAAGATTGGCTCCTACAAGGTGTTTGTGGCATTGTGCTGGGAGCCTCAACATCTTTCTTCTCGTGTCGTTCCTCATCTTCAGAAAGCTCTTCATCACCCTCTTCATACACAACGTAATACTTCTTGATTTTCGGGTTGTAGCGGTCTTTCCTCAAACATAATGCAGGTTCAGGTAGCTAGTCTCAACTGAGGGTCACGCTAGTATAGAATGAAGGTGAACAGAGTTGAAGCACTGTCAACACTGGGCATTTTGAGCAGTGCAGAAAGGCAGCTTCCACAATCGCTCATTGCCAGGTCGTTCACAATAAGCCACAACATCTTTGATGTAGCTCCTGAGATGCTAGCTACAGTGATCATGATTCAATATGATTCAATGATCACTGTATTGATGGTTTGTTGTGGGGACACAATCACAACATGATTGAAAGAGAATGGTCACGAGTAAATGTTTTGGAAGCAGCCTACTTTTGACAACCATTCATGCTCATGACTCATGAGGGCACATGTGGAGGACATTGTTGAGCCACACGAACCCGACAGTATTTAAGATTAGGGACGCAGACCACTGCAGGATTCTGGACATGGCTTCCTTCGTAAACCAGCCCCTCTTCTTGCGCTTGCTTAGCTTGCTGATCTTGGAGATGGACTTGGTGATTCGGGAAATGAAGATTTCCTGGAAAACATGTTGGTGATTGAATGATCTCAAACAACATGTTGGTTTCACATTCACGGTATATTTTCATAACCTATTTTCATAACCAGGATTTAGCAAACAAGGAAACACTGTCCTTGGCCCAATTAGCCTGTTCAAACTCCTCAACCATGGCATCCCGTTCCGCTTTGTCGGCCTTCTTCCAACGCTCATGAACTTCTTTTGGCACAGCGCACTTGCCGCTCGGCTTGACCTCGCAAAGGCGCCTCAAACGAGCATGCTTTGCACCTTCGGTTTGCGGAGCAGGCGGGATCTCAGCACCGTCCACTCCTTTGGGGCAAGGAGGTGGTGGGCCAGGTTCCTGCCTCAAACTCTTGCTCTTGGGTTTTGGGCTTGGGGATGGCGCAGGGTGTCGCGGTGGCGGAGTCTTGTAAGATGAGGAGGAGCCCTTGGTTTGAGAGGTTGCTTCATCGCGGAGCTTGGCCAACTCTGCTTGCATCCTCTCATTCGCCTAGCCAGAACATCCAACCAAATCAAACTTAATTAGGGTTGGATAGAATTGTAGCGTTTGCGTGCAATGAGGAACAAAAGCGCTAGCAAATCAAAAATTGTGGAAAGGGTCTTCAAATATCAATCTTGAATTCTCTTGTTCGTGTATAGATTTGTGACCCCATTAGAATAAATCCCATGGTGGCACCTTGCGAAGCTCCTCAATCGCCTTCTGTGGATCTTCCTCCGGCTGTTTCCCCTTCACCCGCTTCGGGGGGTTGGGGTTTGGTGAAGCTACGTTTTCTTTTTGGGGTGATCGATTATGCTTCACACTCGGCTTCGCTTTGGACTTTGCTGAAGTTGTAGCCGGCGCCCTCCCCTTCCTCTTAGGAATAGAAGCTTCCAGCTCTTCCGGTGTAGCCTTAATGGGGCCCAAGCTGAAGTTGCATACCATTGGTGGCAGAAGGATTACACAGCTAATTGGGTAACAACATGCAAGCGGAACCGCTGGACGGACGCCAAGGAACTGGAACAGTCTCAGGGAGCTCCTCATGCAAATCTGAATCCCCAGCCTTATGTCCAAAACAAAACTTGTCCGGAATGCATTGTTTCATCGCATTCATGCCCCATTGGACTTGAAGCTTCTTCCAGTAAAGCTTAAAGTAAATTGGTTCCCAGCCACGTTTGCAGCCTCAGCAGCTTGCTTCAAAGACTCAAGCTGCGCCTCATACTCCTGCAGCCACATTGTGTCACCCTCAACTATGGTCGCGGGAAGGACTTCTTAAGTCCAATCATCAAAAGACCCAGCTTGTGGCATGTGATTCAACTGACCGGGTTTGTTGTGTGTGTGTGTGTGTTAGATTTCCCAAGATGTAGGACCTTAAGTTGCAGACGACGTGAGAGCTTGTACCAAAAAACATGAGTGACTGGCAAAGTGTAAATGACAGGCGTAAACCTATAGGAGTCGCTTGCATGCCTATGACCTAGAGAGGATGAGAGGACAAAGGGTCCACACTAGAGGCTGGTGTGGACCCTTTGTGTCCTCTCAACCTGTGTTGGGATGTGTATATGTTCCTCAGATCTCATACAATTTGACAGCAACAAACTTCTATGGGTCCTTGATCTGCTTTTGGAGGTCAGCTGTGGATAAAGCTTCCTGTTTCACCTTCATCAACGCTCGTTGACCTTCTGTCAGCTCCGAGCAGCTGAACTGTCTGGAAGCCACGGGTTGCTTACTCCTCTCTGTTTTTGGAGCCATTCCCACTCACAAATGTGTGAGGCTGGTGGCTGGACGGCTCTTCTGAGCCAATGCAGGTCGATTCATGCATCGAGAAGGCTGGATGGTGAAGGGACTGGGATTGAAGCTTACAAACATCCCTCAAACAGCTCAAAACCATAATGTTTAATGAACTTCAGCGTTACGGGAAGATGACGGAAATTGCACGTAATCCGGTACGCAAAACCACGCCCCTTTGATGGAAAAATACGGTCCTATTACGCGTTACGGGTCCGTTACGGGTCCGATACGTACAAAATGCGTACAAAATACGTATTCTCAAAACATGCTGAGAATTAATCAAAAACTGTTTGAAAGTCACTAAAGTACAAGTGTACTTCATGTAGTTGCAAGAAAAGCAAAGCTTAGAGATGTTGAAGCACCTTGACATCTCCAAACTCAAATCAGGACTGCAAGATTGTTCAGTGGAAGCAAAGTAAACAAGTTTTTGCACTGTACATTCAAGACCGTTCTCTCACTCAAGCTGTGTAAACGAGGCCCCACTGTTTTTTTTTTTTTATCATCTTGGAATGGCCAAGCTCCGGAATCCATCCTCTAAGTCCCAGGCTCCAAATTGGGATCAGCTAAGCTGCAGAATCCCAGAAGCACCGGTTTTGATGAATTGTAACACCAAATGAATTAAGGGTCACACATGTCACACCCAACATCTCCCAAAAGTGAAGAAACAAGCATCTATGCCCCCCAAAGACGACAAAATAACGACAAGTTCACTGGCACGGACACCGTGTATCACACCACTGCTTTTCTAAAGCAGTTCTATGAAACATTCTTGGAGACATCGGTAAGTACTGTGACCAGTCTTCAACTTAAATTTCAGTTGGAAAAAGGGACCTCAAGCCCCCCAACTTCAAATCATGACTCCCCCGCAAATAGCGAAAGACTGATTCCATTCTGGCGTCCACCCACCAATCCATATCATGCCACGGCAAGGATTCGAAGAGATCGATGCCAAAGTTCAAGTTGTTCTCCTCCACATGAGCCCAGAAGCGAGGACGTGTGCGGATGAATCGTGGGTAAAGCCTGGCCAATCGAAGTCCAAACTTTGGAGGGTAAGACCTGGGCAAGTGGCAAGACAAGATTGAGGAAATCTCAACCCCACCCTAACAGGAAACTTGCAGTGAACCCAAGATTGAAGATTGTTGAGCAGGATCCAAACTCCAATTAGATCACTATGGTGCAAACATGACAGACAAGGAGAAAAGGTTAGTGGCTATGACACTGTAGCCAAGGGACCCCGTTGACTTCAATGCTTTGGAGCCAGCAAACCTTTTGACACCGGTCTTCGACTTGTACTGCTTGGTGCTCTTTACACCATACTTGGCAATCGTGTCTTTGTACTTTTTGCACAAACGGCCCAAGTCCAAGCATTGAATTGTGGGGGAACTGCTCCAACCAATGTGCCTCTTCCATGTCGGAGCACCGTACATTCCAGCCCACCACTTCGCTTGGTAGACCTCCAAAATATATATGTTTCAAGGAAAAGAAATAGGCGTCCCTATCTATCATTCCCATAAAACGCTGATGGTTGGCAGTATTCAACATCTCTGGTAAGAGGTTTAACAGTTGAATTGCAATAGGGTCTATTGTTGACACGCTGACAGTTGTGTGTCACACTCAGTTGGATAGCCCCCAACCTTGGGTAGGAGTCTCCACAAAAGCCTGATTCTAGGATGCCAGGTTAGGAGCGAGCTTCTTGGCTGTTCAAGCATCCAACTTCCTCCCATAGCAACCACGGCCAAAATCAATAGCGTGGTCCTTGGTTTGCAGCGGACAGAGTGTGCTAAGAGGTGTTCTTTCACACTGGGGCATTGGATGAACACCCAACAGCTCTGCCTACCTAGCGCGAACAATACGCAACCCTGAAGACCCTTTTGGCTTCACCACTCCTGGCCGCAGGAGGTCGTTGGTATGGGTTGTGGAAGATTGGAAGGTTGTGGAAGGCAGGGTTGGGAAGCAAGTCCTACTTGGCCAAAGATGAGGTTGATGGAGCATTGATTGGGCACGAGAACAACGTTCTCAAAGACTAACTTGTGGTTTCAATTTGTTTCCCCGGCCCAAGGTTTGCAAAACTATGCCTTAACAGAAGAGGTCAAAAAGCCTTTTAGAGCATACGTCCTCCAACACAGCATTTGGAGGACGCACGATGCCCTTATCGAGGAGGCCTCATCCTCCCATGAGGTTTTGGACCTTTGGTAGTGTTGGTCCATCTTGCATACCAAGAGGGGTCAAGATGTTACAAGACTAATAGAGGAGGATGATTAACATCTAGTATTCCTGTATATTCCTGTTGGCCTCTTGACCTCTCTTGGTAAGGGGGTACCACGTGCTCTAGAACATGGATTGTCTTGCTTGGCGAAGTCAAGTTTGAAACAAGTGTCTTGGCTGTGAACTCGTTGCCATGTTTGACAAAATCCATAGATTCTAAGCCCAATGGGGAGCTGGGACATCGATAATGGGAGCCTTTGCTGATTGTGACATAGCTTGAGCACACCAGTCCGAAAAGTGCCATAAAGGAATCGAACTTTGCATTCAGGATGGACACCAAGACCAACCTCATATCGCACGGCGTGATGAACTCAGGAATCTTCTGCGCAATAATGTTTTCTATCCTTCCCTGTGCAAAGCACACATGCATCACATGCAACAAACAACATGGGCAGTCCATTTGAAGCTATGCAGTTGAAGAGCGAAAACCCTGCATCGGATAGCAGGTCCATAGCATCTTGCTTGCCAGGCAATGGATCTCCCAATCGAATGTCAAATGAAACAGTGGCAATGCCGTTTGCTTTCATGCACTTCGACACCCAGCCATCTCCACTGAAGACTTCAATAAATTCAATGGACTGGCAGCAGGGAAAGGAGTTTCAATCTATTGTGGAATCTTTGGGAATACCTAGCTAAACCCACTATGCCCCTAGGTCAGTACACCACAAGCCCCATCCGGAGCACCCCGCCTCTGTGAATGTGTCCAATTTCGAGTTTGCCGTGAGCAGGATGATGCACGCCATCAAAACCTTCCAGCGAGGCCCGATCGGCTTTCAGGATGGTCTGCGGACAGGCATTGTTTCCAAACAGGACTTACCACCTGTATGGACCTGTAAGGTTTAGGTCATTGCTACATATTGCAACAGTGGAGTGTCAAAATGTTTGAACCATGGCCTTCATGGAAGGGAATATTATATTACACATTCAATGGCACGCGCAAGCCAACCTTCGGAGCACCCATGAGATAGAGTCGCTGCAGAACAAGGTTCAGCTTCCATGCTTTGTCAGGGCTCAAGAGTAGCTCATCCATGGCTAAGAAATTGATGAGGGCTTGACTACAGCAGAGCCAATCGTCTGCAGATTCAACAATGGGACTGGCGAAAGGGATTGGGCAGCATTGCAAAGTTTGCACCTCATAGCAAGTGACAGTGTGCTCTTTGATTATGCAGGGCTCCCATTGGAAGTGGTACACAGCCCACCCCAAGCAAAACACACAACCAGATTAGGACACATACATCGGTATACAGCCAAACGTTTTCAATTGAATTATGTATAGAACAAACTTCTCAGAAAGAACCCTGTGCCTTTATTGGCACCATGTGTTTACTTGTCATGCATGTGTTTGATGCTCTAAACCTTTAGCCCCTCTCTGTCTCACATGGCGCTGAAGCGAGACAGGTCCACCAGCAAAGACCCCTCCAAGATCATTCTCCATGCTGGCCTTAGAAGCCGGCTGCACACGGCTGGTTGTTCCAAAGCCACAAATGGAAAGTTGCACGATTGGAAATCCTTGGGATGATTTTAAACTATTACCTGATCATGTAACCTGTGACAACTAATTGATAATCCATGGAGGGGGGCAAGTTGATCAACCCAAAGGAAAACATGTTTGTCATTGCGCAATTTTTCCTCAGAGCCAGCTACAACGGTGGCATGTGGATCATGTGGCACAGGAACCACTCCGACGCACAAAGATTGGCTGATGAGAAGACCAGGCCAGAAAGCTTTGGTGCATTGCTCCACTTTGTGCTTTTCAAGAAGCCTAGGCATTCATACATTTTCTGAAATGTATCGACGTTGGTGGAAACCATATGAGCCATCAAGAGCCATCGAAACACAGGAGCATGATAGACCTGACCATGTACCAGCTGCTACACACCCTACCGCTGTGAGGGCCCTAAGGTCGTTACCCCCTAAGAGCATAAACATTGTCCCCATTCCAGTGACTGCTTTCCCAAAACAACAATGCAAACAAGAGCTTTATCATGCTTCATCCCTTGGAACATACTGCTCTTAGTATAACTAGTAGTTCAAGTGTTGTTGCGTTGGGTTTCATCTTGCAGTCAGGTTGGATGGAGCCTACGAGGTCTTTGAGCTCTTCTCGCTCAAGCCCGCTAGGTACTCAGAAGCTGCAGCCTCTGCCAAACCATGAATGTTCTTCGCATTGACCTCTTCCGACGCCCACTTGTTCGTGGCAAATTTCCAAAAGCCATCCTGGAGGCAAATTTGTTCATGGGAGCAATTGGGAGCATGAAAGAGATGAATACCTAAGTGAATACCTATAGGCCTTGCAAGGACTTTGATCCCAAACAACAAACTGGTGACTGGTGGCAACATCAGACATGTGGGTAACCTTTAGTCACCTTGAGGACTACAGAGGACAATGTGGAACCGTTCAACTGTTCGTTCATTGAGGAGCCTCGCCTACCGCAATGCTTCTGTCTCGTCCTGTCAGGTCCGCGCGCGCGCGCCACTCAGGGGAGCCAGTGTGCATACATGTGGCGCGCGCGCGCTGACCCGACAGCCACTAACTCAATAGGCAGGCAAATTAACGTTTGTTGGGGGGGCAACCTATATGCGCACATGTTTGATTTCATTTGCACCCACCACCCCCACTTTCCAACTTGTCACATAAAGTCCTCGTGGGCACTGTAGTGGGAGAGCACAGGCTTGATTGTTTTCGCAAAGCAATCCCGTAGTACTTGCCACTTCAACTTTGGAAATTCGGATTTGGGTTCCACCCTTCTCGCAAACGTCATGGCTTCAGCACCCCTTTTTCTTGTACGACTTCCTTTCCCTTCTCCCACATCTTTTTGCCCCTTTTCAGACTCCTTTGCTTCCTCTTCACAATCTTTGATCTTCTTCTCAGATTTCTCTGCTTTCACTTTTCTTTTGCGTCCTGATGGTGCTGGCTCATTGTAGTCAGCCTCAATTGGCACAGAAGCCTCAGATTGACCTGCCTTCTCTTGTTGGGGCTTCTTACGCCTTTTCTTCTCCGGCTGCTCCTTTCCTTTGTCAGGCATTTCCTTTGCATCATCAGCAATGTTTTCTTTTTCATGGTTGCTTTTTCTCTCTTCATCATCTGTACCGTTGCCTGGCGCACTGGCCATCTCATGTTCCACCTCTTTTGTCACGTGTCCTGCCAATCCCCCTGAGCTAGGCTCCTGGGCTTCATCCTCCTCATGCGTCAAGGCAGCAGTGCTCTTGCCTCTTCTAAAAGCATCTTTGTTGGCGATGTTTTTCACATGAGCTTCCTTCGAATCTGTCTTCTTTTATTCCCCTCACCCTTTGCTTCACTTGGAGTGGTTCCATGACTCTTCTCATGTGCATCATCCCCCTCCAAGTCTTCCTCTTCCACCTCTTCATCAGCCAGGTATGGCTGGTCCTCATGATCTTCTTTGTCATGCTTGGCCTTAGCCTTTGCTTTCCCTTTGGGTGTCGCTTTTGCTTTTCCTCTTCCTCTGCCCCGACTCTTGCCCTTTCCCCTGCCCTTCCCACTTTTCTCTTTGCTTTTCAGCTCTGCGTCATCATCGTCCTCTCCCTCTAATTGTTTCAACCCAAGCTGCGAGCGACGCAATACCTGGGCAAAAAGAAAAATGCACCAGTGGGACCCAGCAGGATTGGAAAGGAATCTCATGAAAACACCCTTCAGCGAGACTTGCAATGATGCTAATTGCACTCTTTGGCTGTCAAGGTCGATCTAAAGTCCAAGCAACATGAACAAAACTGATACCATAAAATCTCACCGAGGCACCACTGGGGCAGAAGGCAATGTTGTAGTCCCAGGGTCACTAGCATGGTTCTTGGACATAGCCTCCATGTCACTAGGGGGCAGTAGAAGTGTGTCAGCTTGATCACCACCAAATGGGATACTCTCCATCACGTAGATTGCGTCTTGGGAAGTCTCACGCTTCGGGTTTGGCTGAACTTCTTGCTGCGCACGCCTCAACTAAACCCTCCCAAAGTAGACAATCCGAAGATACCTGAAGCCTTTTGTTGTAGTTTTGTTTCGGGATAAATGAGGAGGTAGATCAAAGCCCGCATTTCAAGCGCTCTTTTGTTGAATCAACTATTGAATATTGGAAAAGTTCTGGTGGAAAAGAATTGTTCGAACATGTGAGTGAGCATCAAGCAACAACACCACATAGTGTTAGAAAATATGTCGTGAATGAGATCCAGGCGCTGAGACGCATACAGCTTCTTGGCATTGTTCAATTTCATGGAAAGCGCCGAGATATGGTTTTCGATCTCAGCCCGTCTTGTGACAAAGTCACAAAAAAAGCCTTCTCTCAGCTTTTGTTTGTCCTCACTCTTCATGGTTGTTGGGCCAGGGCTGTCTCCAATTTCAATGACTTCAGCCGGGGTGGGCTCGGGCTCCATCTCAAGCCTGGAGGTGTCATCCAACGCCATGGGACGATCACCTTCATCCTCATTGGAGTTGAACTCCATACTCACCATGCCTCCGAGCGCCTTAGCCTCCTCACTCTCTTCAACTTCCGGATTCTCCTCTCTGGTGCCGTTTTGCACATCGTGATCAAGAGCATCAAGATCATGTTTTTCCAACTCCTCCTCCCCTTCTCCGTTCACATCCATGAGTGCCGCATCCATGTCATCATTCACACCCTCCTCCTCCTCCTCCACCTCGACATCGGAATCGGACACATCGATCTCTTCATCCAGGTCTGCATCGTTGTCACCAAAGACCTGGCTGTCGGGCTCCTGAGTCTGCGAGTCATTGTGGAGGTTTTTCTCCTGGCAGTTGGCGCTAGAGCTGCGGGGGTCAAGAAGCCATGTAGCAGTAGCATTGTATTCAACATGCTAGTGGGTAAAATACAGAAGTAGTGTTTCCCTTGCTCATGAATCCTCCAATGGAATTGAAAGTTGATGGTTCACGCTATGTATGCATCGCCATCTAGGACCATGAACCTTTAAATCCCAACACTTGCCATCAACAAGTTAACTGTTGAGCCAACATTGAACAGCTACAGTGAGAACACACTGGGATTGGACAAGTCCTCAGGATCGAAGACCAAGGCCAAGAGCCTCCTAAACAGCTTTCCCCTGCAAAGTTGATCACGCTGGAGCTTTCGCTTAACCAAGACCAAGAATGCCTTGGCAAGCTTAGCTTGCTTCTTGACCAGTTTGTTGGATGGTGTAGAGACCTTCGACTTCAAGTACAGCTGTTTGATCCTTGAGTGGGCTTTTGAAAGCCAAAAGAGAGAGTATAATCTTGCAGCAATTGATCAGGAGGTGTTTGAAGTAAGGTAATTTTCCCATGTTTCTTTCAGGGAAACTAAAACAAAAACACTTCAAACATGTTGTGAGTCCAGCAAAGTGTCATCTGTTCGATGTGAGGAACGCAATGCATCCCCACTTGTCCAGGCGGGTCTTGGAGTCTTCGAACCAAGGGTTTGAGAGCTTCAAAGTTATGCTCACCACACTCCACATTCACACGGACATCCGCTTCGGTCGGAACGGGCACGAGCAGCTTCCCTTGCTCACGAATCCGTTGCCGAACGATTTGGGAATCATCCCATTCATCAACCACTCCCTTCAAAGAAGCCATGGGACAGGGCTGGCTGAGCACCAAGCTTGGGCAAAAAAAGGTCTGGGGATGGAAGAGAACAAGCTGCATGTTTGCAGTCACAATCCCCAAGATGGCAGTTGACTTGTTGTTTTCAAGATGGCTCCATTGATACTTCCATTGATTTTACAACACACCATCAAAGTGCCTAAGAACTTGGGTCCCCCAAGTCAAGTTTAGAGCTATCATCTCCTGCCAAAGACCGCCATCAACTCATTCAACTCCAGCTGGCTGAGGTCCCAGACCCTTCAACCAGACACGCGGCCCAGCGCGGGCCGGAAAAAGATGCTGCACGCCGCAGCTGTGGCCGGCAGGGTGATGGGACACGATGCTGGGCAAGGATCCCGCCCAAGACCGATCGATGATGATAGGGATTGTTTCATGATAAGGTCATGGTAGTCATGTGGGTGATACTGATCCTAGGTGTTCAAAGGTTGATCCTGAAC